GGTGCTGAGCAGCACCATGACCCTCTGATGGCTCTGAGAGGGTTGCTTGTCTGCTGCTTACCCAGCCTAACGGCTAGCTAAGCCCCAAAGTAATCACACAGAAATTGTATTAATTAAATCCCTGCTTAGCCCATTAGCTCTAGCCTCTTATTGGCTAACTCTCACATCTTGATTTAACCCATTTCTATTAATCTCTATATTGCCACGTGTCAGTGGCTCATGGGCAAAGATGAAGCATGTCTGACTCTGGCACCGCCTCCATAGCATCTCCTTCCTACTCTACATCTATTCCTCCCAGCATTCAGTTCTGTCTTCCCCGCCTACCTAAGTTCTGCCCTATCAACTAGGCCAAGGCAGTTTCTTTATTCATTAACCAATGAAAGCAACACACAAACAGAAGGACCTCCTCCACCAGCTGTCCTCTCCTTCTTCACCCTCACATGGTCCTTCTCTCTCTGTGCTGTCTTTTGCTCTTCTGTCTGTGTCACAGCCTCTTCTGCTCTTTTCTTAGAAGGATGTTTGACTTTGGAACTGGAGCCTACCCCAATCAATCCAGCACAATCATCCCATCTCCAGGTCTTGAAGCTGATCATATCTGTATCCACCAGTTCCAGGGATTAAGAAGTGGCTGGGGCAGCACCGTGTAACCTATTGCACTCAGTGGAGCCAGTCTACTTATGCTCCCGCAAGGGATGCGAAGCGACTGAGATGATAAGCTGGAGGAACTGGCCCGAGGTTTTCCAGATGACAAGCTGTGAACGTGAGATTCGCATTTACTTCCAGAAAATAACACTGTCTAAAAGAGTAAAAGTTTCCAGGATTTTCCATTTGGATGTCAAAGATAATTTCTGCGATCCATTTTTACTGGACTATCTTTTACCACTGACATCATAGGGTACACTAGAATCCCCTGCTTCACACAGTCATTCTATAGGTAATTAGTCACGTCTGATCGGCCTGTTTGTTGCCCATGGTGTTAGCGTATTTTCATGACTGTGACAAAATGCCCGAGGAAAACAAACCAGGAAAGAAGGGTGTCTTTGGACCATGGGTCCAGAGATCTCTGTCTATGGCATTGGCGCCGTTGTTGCTGGGGTTGTGCACGGAGAGGCAGAACACCACAGTAGAGGGACTGTGGCAAAGTGATGCACCTCATCTCAACAGTAGGCAGAGACTGCGATGGAGCCCAGGCCACAACAAAGCAGGAAATGGACCTGAAGAACACACTTCCACATCTTAAGACACCTACTTATTTTTTTTAAGTTTCTCATACTATTTTAATATTATAAGAAATCATTGAGATTAAAACTTAAAGTTGATCTCCTTACCTATTCACAAAGGAAATGCTAAAGAATAATAGAGCTGTCCTTTCCAAAACCAAATCCTTAGATTATCTGGTATCAAAGGGCATAAGAGATAAGTAGGCATCTACTTCTGTGTCATATATACATATATACACATATACATACATACATACATACATATATACCATGTCCATATGTGTGGGTACATGTGCCAGAACACACAGTTGAAACTCAAAGGACAACTTGTGGAAGTCAGTTTTTTCCTACCCTGTGGATTTTAGGGTCTTCAGGTTTGGCAGCAGCAAGTGCCTTTGCCAATCAAGCCATCTTGTTGGTCCCTAGTTGTTGTTGTTGTTAAGGTTTTCTTTTTTTCCTTTGATGTTGTTTTGAAACAAGGCCTTACTTTGTAATCTAGGCTGGCCTGGAACTCATGGCAATCTCCAGCCTTAGAATTTCAAGTATAGGCATTAAAAGGGTTAGAATTTCAAGTATTAGCATTACAAGGGTTGTTAGTCTCTTAGTTAGGGTTGCTGTTGCTATGATGAAACACCATGACCAAAAGCAACTTTGCGAGGAAAGGATTTATTTGGCTTACATTTCCATTATTTCTGTCCATCACTGGAGGAAGTCAGGAAAGGAACTTACGCAGGGTGGGAACCAGGAAGCAGAAGCTGATGCAGAAGCCATGGAAGGTGCTGCTAACTGGCTTTCTTCACATGACTTGCTGAACCTACTTTCTTATAGAACCCAGGATGACCAGTCCAAGGGTGGCCTCACTCACAATGGCTTGGGCCCTTCCACATCAACCACTAATTACAAAAATGTCCTACAGGCTTGCCTACAGCCAGATTTTATGGAGGCATTGTCTCAATTGAGGCTTCCTCCTCTGAGATGACTTTTGCTTGTGTCAAGTTGACATAAAGCCATATAGCATGATGAGTCACCGTGACTGATTCAGTCTGTTTCATCCAAGTTCCTATCTGTAAAGTTTCTGCTTGTAAGCATTCAGGCACTACACTGGCCCACCCTTGGGGTCTTCGACTGCAGTCACTAAGAGCACTCTTTGTGCGTATGCACTGGAGTCCCTAAGGGCACTGATAGAATACGTCATCAAGCGCATGCACCAAAGCCCTTCATAAAAAGCAGGTCCCTCCTGTGTCTCCCTCTCTTTTTCACCGCTCCCATTCCAGAGGTCTCTTCTGTCACTCTCTCCCTTCCCCTCCCCTCCCCCAACAAACCTCCCGTGAGTCCTGTTGTGTGGTGTGACTTTCCTTTTCTCCACTGTGCCACACTGCAAACCAGCACCAATACCTCCCGAGTCTTCCACCAGAGCATCAAATCCATAACGAGGTTTAGTCTGTCAGTGAGGGAAGTCTATTCATGGCCCCTTCACAAACGAAAGCCTCATCTTGGAACACTGCACTAGGGACCAAAACATAGGATCTTTTAAGGGGTTATTTCGTATTCAAACCATAACACACATAATTTATAATCAAAATGTATTGAAAATAACCTTAGTGTCCCCCTATAGGATGTTAAAGCACTCATGGTCCAGCCCTTTTAAAATGCAGCGTATCTATAATGTTTTTTAATATTTATTTATTTATTTATTTATTTATTTATTTATTTATGTGTACACTTTTCTGTCTGTGTGTATGTCTGCAGGCCAGAAAAGGGCACCAGACCTTATTACAGATGGTTGTGAGTCACCATGTGGTTGCTGGGAATTGAACTCAGGACCTTTGGAAGAGCAGGCAGTGCTCTTAACCTCTGAGCCATCTCTCCAGCCCGCATATCTATAATTATATATGAAATTTCTAAGAGAGCAGATCTTGAGTCTTCTCAGAAAATAAGGCAAGTTATGAAATGATAGGCAATCTCTTTCCAGCCTACATGCATTTCAAAATGGCATGTTGCATGTTTGCCTCCTAAATACACACATTTATCTGTTAACCATCCCGTGATGAACCTGTAATAATGAAGACTAAAGTGAAGTTCGCCTGAAGTAGTGTGAAAGAAGTTCACGGAAGGCACAGAGCTGTGTGTGGAAAATGCCAGGCTTCAAACATAGCGAAAGGAAACACATCTCCACCCCCTTATCTGTGTCCCACACACTGAGTGTTTTAGAAAGATAAGTCCTAAATTTGTAACTGTATTTGAGGAAAAGAATTGTGGAGCTAAGTGTGGGGATGGAAGGGAGCTTTCTGTTGTAAATGCTACTGTGTTACTTGAAGTTACCTTGCTATAGACATGGGGCAAAGGGGTGGATGGGGGAGGGATAAAGAAGGAGGGAATGAGAATCTATGAGCTAGTTTTCACCTAATTTAATTTTTATTCTACTTTTGTTCCCCTCCTTTTGTTTCTTTTTTTGAGACAGTCTTGCTGTATAACTCAGGCTGCTCCCCCCAATGCAAATAATCCTCCAACTTCAGTTTCCTGAGACTGGCCTATACCATCTTGTTTTACAGATTTATCTTCATCTCTTAATACATTTTGTCATCCCTCAAACAATTCATTGCTTCCCAAACAAAGCACACCAGTGTGTGTGTGTGTGTGTGACTGTATTTATGTGTACTTTTCCATCATTATCTTTGTGTGTTCTCTACAAATAGAACCCCGCCCACCCACACACTACTGTTCTGTGTAACGTCCCAGTTTTCGGGGTTGGAAACCCCCTCTTCTTCTCTCTTCATTGAAGCAGCTCTAAGCTTATGCTCTGAACTGTGGTCTTGCTTCTCAGTTGGCCACATTGCATTAGCCCCTGCAGGAACACATGCGTCTTCTCGGCTGGCCACAATGCATTAGCTCCTGCAGAAACGCATGCGTGTTCTCAGCTGGCCACATTGCATTAGCTCCTGCAAGAACTCATGCTCTTGGTGGTTTGTCTGCTCTCCAAGCACCAGAACAGAACTTTGCCAAACACTTGTCACTGACCACAAAATTTGAACGGAACAGTCGTCTAGGAAAAGTTGTGCTTTCTATGATGACCAGTTTCAAGGGAGCTAGAAAATGACATGTGACCCAAATATACAAATCCCGCTTAATATAAAGATCTAAAGGAGTCAATGAGATTCCAAAGCTCTGCATTAAACCCGTACTATACCAAGTAAGGTAAGTGCATGGCATGTAAATGGTTAAAAAGCTCTGTTTGATAAGCATTGAAGATAGCACGAGGAAAGAAACCCGACTTAATTATAATAAAGAAAGCACAGCTCTTGCTGTCTGTGGCCCATCCAGACAGAGCAGGCCCAGGGAGGAACTATGCAAGCACTGATTCTGTCATGGAGTAAGGCGCATTGACGATTGGCACTATCAGCCTCTTGCTGATGCACCCCCAGACCCAGATCAGTGCAAATATCACTCCTGTTTAACAGGCACATATGCTCAGAATGAATTATCCCAATTCATCTCATAAAATCACTGCGCCTTCACTGCTCCGTCTTCTTTCATCTGAAACCACTTTCCCTTGCTCTGGACGGAGCAGAGAAGAGGGTCCTACTACTCAGTGCGTGGGACTTCCCATACCTTACAGCGTTTCATAGTAGTCGACCATAACTCACCTTCGAAGACCAATAGATCCCACTTTTACATCCTTCTAAGAGACTGATATTCAGTTTCGATCTCGATAAATAGGTGCTCTGATGTCAGACCCCACCCATCTCTTCTGACCTGATGATGACGTCATGTTTGACTTACTGTGAAAGCGGTTTCATATTCTCCAGCAGCCAGGTGGGCTGAGCCCAGGTAGAGAGCAGCTTCTCCCTCCATGCTCCTGTCATTTCCTGAAGTGGGAGGGAGAGAAGTCACCACGGTATTTGGGGACAGAGTCGCCACACAGACCCAAACCATCGCCAGTCAATGCAACAGTCACTCTTTTAAAAGCTTACACACATGGCTGGAGAGATGACTCCGTGGTTGAGAGCACTGGCTGCTCTTTCCAGAGGTCCTGAGTTCAAATCCCAGCAACCACATGATGGCTCACAACCATTTATAGTGGGATCTTCTCACATAAAGTTGTAATGCAGATAAAACACTCATATACAATAAATAAATCTTAAAAAAACTTGCACATATACCAATGATCTTTGAGACTAACCTTCATTTAAAAAAAGGCTGTGTGTGTGTGTGTGTGTGTGTGTGTGTGTGTGTGTGTGTGAGAGAGAGAGAGAGAGAGAGAGAGAGAGAGAGAGAGAGAGAGAGAGAGAGAGAGGAAAGAGATTTAGGTAAAACTCAATCTGGATCTCAAATGACAGGTTAAGGCACTTTAGCGTTATAATTATAAGGAGTTCTCTCTATACACACAGACACACAGCCTACTACATACTTTGCACATTCATAGAATGTTGATGTTCGTCTACCTTGTGTAGACCCACCATTGTCCAGCATGCCTGTGACAGCTTACATGAAACAACCAGCAACACGTAACAGCTTAACTGGTTACACACTCCTGCCAATCCTCTCCGTCTCCAACAGGATGCGTGATTAACAAGTTAAGGCTGTCAGTCTGGCTATGTTGAGTCCAGCATTCCTGGTGCAGGCTAATGTGGGAATGACCAGCAGAGCCTGCTTCCTGGTACAGCAGAGCCTGCACTGGGATGGAAAAATGCTTTCCTTCTCTACCCATGCTTTTTCCTTCCTAATTTCTGGGATATATTTGTTTTGCAATGACCCAATTCTTTCCAAAGGCAAGAGTGTGAAGGTGCAATGTGTGGTCCAGTATGAGGCGTGGCATACTGCGGATGCATGCACAGCTTGTTCATGTGACTATGGAGACGTTGTGTGTGAATTTTATGTATTAGAAACAACCATTAAAAATTCTCTTTAAAATAAGAATACTTTTTTTGCTTTCTGCCTTTAGATGTCACTGGCTTTCACACTCATCCAAATCCTGGAAACACAGATGTTGACAAATCCCTGCTGGCGTGTCTCTGCAGTGGCTTTAGGTATCTGAATCCTAGGTTCTGGGTGTCAGGAGTTAGCAATCCTCCTTGCTGTGTTCAGTCTCTCTACCCATTGAGTTACTGCTGGTGAGGATGTAAGATGCCAAGGCAGACAGACAGCAAATGCCTGGGACAGTACCTGCTTTGTTTTCAAGATATTTCACTGGCTATAGAAAACTATGATATAATGGAGGCAAAAGTTTCTGTCCTGCCCAGTCCCACAGCCATTCAGGCACAAATAAACACACAGAGGTTTATAGTAATTATAAATTGCTTGGCCTATTAGCTCAAGTTTAATATTAACTAGCTCTTACAACTTAAATTAACTCATAATTCTTATCTATGTTTAGCCACGTGACTTGGTACCTTTTCTCACTAAGGTGTTCTCACCTTGCTTCCTCTGCATTGGACTCTCTGCCTTTCCTCTCCCCAGAATTCTCCTTGTCTGGTTGCCCTGTCTATACTTCCTGCCTGGCTACTGGCCAATCAATGGGTTCTTTTTTTTTTTCTTTCTTGTGATTCTTGTGCAACTTTCTGTGTGATCAAAATTTGCTGTTGACATTGATCCAAGTGCTCAGGATTTGTGTCCCCTTTACTCCCTCTAGAGATGATATAGACCATCATTTATGCAGAAGCAGTTAATCTGATGGAATTTATCTTTCAGTGATAAGGATTTTCTTTAAATATTTCAACTAAGGTTATTTAAATAAAATAACAGAAGAACAAATGAACTCAAATGTTTACTTTTCCTCTAAAATAAATTAAAATCATACCACAAGACCAGTCCTGTTTTACCCCAAATAAGCCATCAGCTGCTTATCAAATGAATTCATTAAATATGTCCATGAGTCAGTAAACTTTAGTTCAAGACTGTAGCTTCTTTTTCTCCTTCATGAAAAAACTAGTCTATTAGAAGATTACTGTGTGGTGATGTAGTAATGAAAGGGGTGTTTTTCTCTGCATGTTATGATTTAAAAGTTTAAAAGAAAATGCTTCATTTTCATTATGCTTATACAAATAAAGATGCTATAAAACATTAAGGGTGTGAGCTATTTTCCTAAAAGTATTCTTACTGCTTAGAGTGTGAATGAGAATCACGTGGGCATCCTGGCAGCCTGCAGATGCTGATGCTGCCAGTCTGGGGTGGGGCAGAGTGTGACTTTTATAGTATGCCTCCTGGTGATGTTGAGAGCGCTAATCCAAAGGCTGAGGTTTGAGAGGGGCAAAGGTCTAAAGACATTAGAGTGTTATTTCCTTGTTACTGCTAACTAAATATTTACCACAGTTTCCCAAGGATCTGACTATAGGGAATTTATAAACAATAAAAGGTTTCTCAGATTGAAAAAAAATACACAACCTATACACACCCACCCCACCCCAACCACCCCCCACCCCCCACGCACACACATTTACAAATGATCTTATCTCCTCTTTGTGAATTCCTTGTTTTACAACAGTACCCCCCAGTGAATTGTAATTTTGGAAATAAAGCTTTCAAGAAACTAATGGATATCTCATTGTCAGCATTAAGGGCTCTCCTTCTGCCTTACAGCAAAATCTGAAAGCGTATTGATGGCATTTGTCTTTGCATTTCATAGGAAATAATTACCCTAACACTTGACAATTTTTACTCCTCTCTCGGGAGAACCAGTGTCTGTCCATTAAAGAAATCAGTGTGAGAGCACTCTCTCCCACCCACCTTCTTTGGCTATTTCAGAAGCTTTCATTAGAATTTTGATGGCCTGTTTGTACTCTTTGTTTTCCAACATTCTGTCTGAGAGCAATCTGTAGGTCCTCACGAGACTTTCACAGGCGAGCAAGTTGAGATAGTGGCCTGTCTCATCCTTCCATATCCGGCCCTGCGTCAGTTCATGGAAGGCTTCATAATGCTGGGCAGCTTCCAGCAGCTCACCTGAAGAATAAGAGCCATTCATAAATAGAAAGCACAGGCCAGAAACTTGTTTTCAAAATTTTGCATGTGTCTTCGAATTACTCATAAACGGGGAGACACGGGGATACATGTGTCGACATTGCTCATAAAGGGTAGGGAGAGATTCAGGGGAACGTGGTTCAGGCCTCAGATCTCAGCACTGAACTCTGGTGAGACATCTCCAGGGGGGGGTGACCTCGGCTGGTGGAAATGACGGCCATTGCGCAAGTCCTGAAACAGCATGAAGATCCATCAGTGTTACGGCCTCCCTAAGTTGACTAGTGTCTCAGGCACTGCGTGCGTTCTCCATTTAACTGCAGTGTGATGCCGTGGAATCCACATGGCTCCATTTTACAGAAGGGAGAGGAGAGGCTCAGCTCCACATTGTGTGTCTAGAGGGCGTAGAACTGTGAAGGCTTCTCCAGAGCCTGTGCTTGTCACCATTATTGCTTTCTGGAGGTGGTGCCTGACTCACTCCTAGGGAGCATTTAGGCATCGTGAGAGGCGTACACCAGTTACACACTTCAGACGACACAGTGGCTTTTAAGCCTGCTTCCCGGAGACTGAAGGAGGCACCTCCATCATCTGCCTAGATCTGGATGATGTCCCGGATGCTATCCTACCAGTCACTCCCGAATGTTTCTTCTCAAATCTCAAACTCTAAATTAGCCTTAAGCCATTTCATTCCTTAAAATCTGCGAAAGTCTGTTTCTGGGAGAGCGGTCTGCAGGCCACACTGCAGATGTACTTTAGATGATAACTCCCTTCAGGCACACTCCTGCACGCCGGCAGCACAAGCAGCTGTGGCAGCAGCAGGTGACACACAGCACTGCTCTAAGCTAGGCCAACCCACCCAGGCATTTCAACTGCAGCAGCCAAAAGGAGCAAAGGTTCATAATTCGGCTTTACTCCCTTTTTGTTTGTTTGTTTGTTTAGGCTAATTACTACCAGACTCCATGTCTTAGTTTACTATTCTGTCAAACAGGCATGGAGTGAAGCTATTCAGAATTAATTAAAGCACATTTAGTGTATTATGGAGTTAGTGTGTAAAATAAGCATAGAAGTGTTAACAGTGGGCATAGTAATAGCATTTCTACAATAACTAACAATCAGTTGCAATATAGTCACTATAGTTATACTTTAATTCAGTTTATCCTGCACAATATAAGAATTAGTGTTTCTAACAATATTACCATGACAGTTTAAATTAACCCTCATGTTTCCTACTAGGAACACTACATTTCCTCAAGTTACTTCACTGCATGGTGCATGTTGAAGGAGCTGAGGGCTGCATTCCTGCTCCCCGGCTCCTGGCCGCCAGCTAGCTTATGCCCCAAATAACAACACACAAATTGTATTCATTTAAACACTGCCTGGCCCATTTCCTCTAGCTTCCTACTGGCTAATTCTTACATCTTGATTTCCCATTCCTATTTATGTGTGTAGCACCCCAAGGTGCGCTTACTGGGAAGATTTTAGCCTACGTCCATCCTGGGTTGGAGCTTCATCGCATCTGCCCGGGAGAGGGGAGCACAGCATCTTGCATCTCTGACCTCACTTCCCTTCTTCCCAGCATTCTATTCTGTCTACTCCACCCACCTAAGGGATGGCCTATCAAATGGGCCAAGGCAGTTTGTTTATTGACCAATGACCTTCCTCCATCAGGTACAGGCAGGCTTGGTGCTGCCTTGACTGATTATATGACCTGCCAACATTTGTTATACTGACTTTGATATTACCTGGATAACCCCAGCACACACCTGGATAACCCCAGCACACACCTGGATAACCCCAGCACTCGGGAAACTGCTGTCTGAGAATCGGATTATAATAGGAGACTATCTTAGGCAGCATGGCCAGACAGGGTCTCAAAAAATACATCAAAAATAAGAGTGACATTTCCAAAGACAGGTGAAACAAGTGGAGATTCCCTAGCGATTAAGTGGCAGCAGAATACAGTAAAGTCAGCCAGAAGGAGTCCTTACCTTGTAGGCTGGGGTTGGGAGCAAACCAGAGGGCAAGGAGTCCTGAAGACTGTTTGGAAACCTATCATAAAGCCTTGGAGGAAGGAGAGCACACAGCTCTAAACTGAATTGCCAAAGAATATTTCATTTCATAGGCTTTACAATGAATGAAAAAACCCGAGGATGGAAATGATCAGAATGGGCTGAGGTCCTGTCCGCCTTCCCTGTGAGCCACTCTTCCCTCCTTGCTCCTGACTTTTGAGGGTTGTTAGGTTTCTGGACAACTCACATGTGTAAGGAGGAATAACGCCTGGGAGGCTTTGGGTACTGGTCACTATGAAAGACCAGCTTGGGGTAATCAGAAAGAATCTTTTTTGTGTGAATTTATGGTTTTCTAGAGCTTTGGGGTTAGCATCAGGGGATTGCCTAGTTCAAGACTGTCTGGGAGTCAGGTCTCAGAAGGCTGGGGTTGCAACCTCCACGGAAAAAGGGTCTAAGACGCTTGGATGAAAGAACCAGGAAGTAGCCTTTCCTGGTGGAGTAAGGCTTTGATAACAAAGGCTTTCTCCCTCACATATTATCCTTCAAATGTCCCCCGACTGGCAGAGATGTAATCTCCAAGTTTTCACTGATGAGGAAATGGAGGCTCATAAAGAGTAAATGACTGAAGTCTCTAAACCACATTTAAAACTTTTTTATGGTTAGAGGTTGAATTCCTGGTCACCAAAGCCCCGTATAACCAGTTCTACCACATCAGTTATGGCGTCACAAACTGTCAGAAACCGAAGTTGTCTCCCTTGAAACTGCAGCCGACATCTCCATGAATGAAGCAATGCTTGAGTTAATGCTCCCTGGTCTCTTCTAGACCCCTAATGTGTTCGCTCAAACCAGACCATCCCTGTAACCGGTACCAAAAAAGGAAGTGACAACCCATCATGCCTTCCTGAATACCCAGATTTATAATCAGCACCATTCAAATTCTGTTTTCTCCTCAACCATGTGGGGATTCCTTAGGGACACTTTGAAGTCTTTGGAAGTCCCACATGTTGTGACTTCAGCCAACCAGTGATGGCTTCAGTCCCACCTGTCACTGCTTTGGCGCTGCTGAGGTGGATTCCTGGGGTTCTGATCAGCTGCTTCCAGCAGAAGAGTTTGCCTAGGAGGAGAGCTTTCCAGTCCTCCCACAGAAGGTTTCAGTCCTTACATTTTTTTATCTTAATTAAGGGAGCCATCTTAGGGTTGGCAAGGGACTTGGAGCTAGAGGGGCTCCCAGGTGCCCAGGGCGATGTCCCCAGTTAGTTCCTTGGGCAGCTGAGGATAGTGAACCTGAAATGACCCTATCCTATAGCCATACTGATGAATATCTTGCATATCACCATAGAACCTTCATCTGGTGATGGATGGAGATTGAGACAGAGACCCACTCTGGAGCACTGGACTGAGCTCCCAATGTCCCAAGGAGGAGCAGAAGGAGGGAGAACATGAGCAAAGAAGTCAGGACCACAAGGGGTGCACCCACCCATGGAGACAGTGGGGCTGATCTATTGGGAGCTCACCAAGGCCAGTCCTTACATTTCTTAATAGAAGCAAATAAAGCAATAAAGATTTGATTCAAAGGACCACAAGCACACAATGGCTAGAGGCTGGCCAGAACTCGAAAGCACTCTTTATAATATGGTATATACTTGACTTAAAATATTAAAAGGTAAGCCTATGGCATGATACGAGCTTAGTAATTTAAATGTAGTTACTCCCTTGAAGTAGGATCAACAATGGTATGATTTCCGTCCAATCTATCTCCAATGGCAACAAAGACCTAAGCAATTATTTAATGTTATGACTAAGTGTTCTGATGCCATTCGAATAGGTATCTATTGACATATAACGCCTACTGCTTTTATCTGAAAACTTACATAATGTTACTAAAGTTTGGCAAAGGCCATAAACAAAACTCCTTTTGACCAAGCTAAGTGCAAACACCAATGAAGACCGCAAACAGTGCCTTAGTTCTTTTTCTTTGCTGTGGTAAATGCCATGACCTAGGCAATTTAGATCAGAAAGGGTTCATCTGGGATAATAGTTCCAGAGGGCAAGAGTCCATTATGGTGGAGTGGAGGCAGCCAGGGCCAGGCATGGTGGCTGGAGCAACTCTTCAGTGATATACTTCCTCCAACAAACCTACACTGCCCCAAAGCTCCCCAACGGCGCCATTAATTGAGGACCAAGTGGAGGATATCTCATTGAAACCGCTACAGCTAAATTTTCAAATCTGGCTCATAACATTCTTTATAACTCCCTTGAAGTGCTCATAAATAACTCACCCTTCCTTTCCAAATAAAATTTAGCATATCGGGACATGGAGAGATCTTTCTAGACCCCGCCATCAGTCTTAGAATAGTAAGGATGAGCAGGTGATACAAGAGTCTAAGGTGGTCAAGTGTGGGCATTATTTTCCACGGAGGAACAGGAACAGAGGGAGGGAGAATCCGGTATCACAAAATAAGACTTAGTAGAAAGCTCATATCTGTTAAAGTCTCCTGAGGGAGGAGAGTTTTGATCACATGGGCAGCAGGATCATCAGCAAATCTTCAGCCCTGTAACATCAGGGTAGCAGTCAGTGAGAGCACTGCTGAGCTGTGTGCCTGCAGGCCATGGTTCTACGTCATGCAGCAACGGGCCACACTCCTTCACGTGAGTCAGGGGAGAAAACAGCCGAACTGTCACTGGGATGAAAGGCAGCCATCATAGACACGGCCGGTGTCCATTTATTTACAAACCACAAAGTAGACTGCAAATCACATCTTAGGAGAGCCTTGTGAACACCCGTGTGGGACAGCAATATCTAGATAGAGACAGAAGGTGGCCCAAGCTTCGATTTTATTTTATTTTGCTTTTAACAATTATACAACATCTACATAAGCAATAAAGACTTTGGCATGCATTTATAGTTTTTCACCTCAAGCAAAGCATGCTCCTAAAACCATCACACTCATTGTATTTAAGACTCACACAAACAAG